AGTAGTAGTAGTAGTAGTAGTAAGCCTTGCAACCGAATGACAATTTCTTTACTTGGTTCCGTTTGCTCGGCTCCTCGATGTTCGGTTGTATATTTTGATTTGTGAATGCGCACGTGCTTTCAGTCGTGAGAAAAATTTTCATGTATTGCATTGTCCATCATCAAGCTTTCAACATTCCAACATTTTATGATGACATTTGGGCGCTATGGAGAATCTTTGCGGTCCGTGGCGTTTGACAAAAGTTGTTGATGGAGAAACGTGGTGTTTGTTACAAATAGACATGTTCGATGTTCCAATAGACGGGCAGCGGGATTGAGATTAATTTTGAATTGCACAATTGACATGCTGCATGCGCCAGCCCCGATTATCGAACCGTAGATTCAAATATATCCAATAACCACAGGCATCAGACACATGTTTCCAATGTTTATTGGTTGGTGTTCAGCTGATTCTTCTGCATGTGTGCGATGAGCAGTCATCTCTTCATTGAAGATTTGTCTGGATGCGGCCTTGCATCTGGTTCGTGCCGTGATTGCAGTGTATTGTGTGGTGTGGAATCACAGCAGGACAATTGCAAACAATGGATCAGCTCCACACGAGGTGCTGGGTTGGCGCGCCACAAACGCAGATGATATCTCTCTGTTGCAAATCGTCGGACGCACCAGGCCGGGTACAATTTGTGGGTTGCCTTGGCTAGCGGCGTCTGGCGACACTGCGCATGAAAGGATGCTTCGCCTGGAGGTCCAAAAGATCTCTGCTTGCATCCTGGGTGGCTGGACCCTGGGGCGACTGCCTCGCAGCTTGCGATGGTGGCCCTGTGCAGGACTGCTGTCATGTTGTTGGTGTTTGCAATCTCCTTCGGTATTCCAAATACCTTTGCAGCCTTAGCAGGTCCGCAAACCAATGTGCCGCTCTTTGACAACAGGTGAGATGTGGCTTGACAAGATTTGCAGTGGAAGTCCAGTCTGGAGCCAGCAAGTCTAAGGTTGGCTTCTGACAAGTGCCCATATGCGGCTCCAGACTCTTGGCAGGTGTAGAGACGTTCTGGGCGGGAGAAGCGAGCACTCGACACTAAGGAGCCGCTACGTTCGTGCAATTGCGAGTTGATGGCTGCCGCCTCAATAGAACATTGCGGCGAGTGCAGGACGGGAACAAGCTGGATTTGCCAAGAACGCAGGTTTGTTCGTCATCCACCGTGGATTGCCCAGCACTTCATTCTTCTTGGTTGCCTTATCCCGGCAACGATGATGATGATGACTTTGAGCAGATCGGTTGCATGGCGAATCAGGCAGTTCTTTGAAGTTCCCAGTCAAAGGCACCAGGCTGTCAGGCACGTGGTCGGCCGTAGCACGAATCCGGAGCGGTTGAAGCAATAAGGATTTCACAACACCTCAAGGCAGTCTCGAGCATTGGAGGTGAAGGATGGTGAATCCCGCGTTCGTGGCCAACCACCGCTGGATTGGAGCTGCCGCTTTGCTTCGTCTGCGTGCAGGCGGGAGTGCCAATCGCCTTGGTGCAGTGCAGTGCCACCTGGTTGCCACAGATGTGTCAGGCAGGGCCTCCCTTTCTATTCAATGGCTTCCAACGCACAGTCTCCGTCCTTGTGCTTTGCATTCTGCATCGAGAAAGGCGAGACCCCATGGCACAATCACCAGAAATGCAGGAAGCTTTACATTGAACTGCATGCGGCAAATGGTTGGGTTCCAACATGTGCTGAATGTCTGCACAAGTCGGACAAGATGTTCTGTGGCTCGCACCTTGTAATGCTCGGCCACACAACTTGATTGCGCTGCGGTTGGCAGTGGCCCGTGTGGTGTGAAGATCGCTGCTTCCAGCAGTCTGCTTGTCTGTCGTTGCTTTATGGGCGCACACAGAGGGTACGTCATGGACTGCTCACTGCTCTGAGTGTTGTTTTTTGTTGTCCTTCACAACCGGTCAGCGCAGATGTCGCACATCCAGCACACGTTTACAAAGCTTTGTTCCGCTTGGTTTCATCATGAGATGATTTCGCATGCTGAGTGAACGATTGCGTTATATCCTTCTAAACGCCAAAGCCCTGTGTTTCCAAACGTTTTCCCACAAGGCTAAAGCAGCCGAGTCATTGCGAAAAGAGGAGCGACAAGGATTGCTTCACACAATGACGTCCTAGAAGCCGAAACCACGGATTCCACGCGTCTTTCCGACAGCGCCGCGCTTGAACAGACACTCCGGCATACGAAACATCATTTGGAGGCAGCACTGCGCAACGTGAAGCATCAGCTGGCGAGAAATGAACGACATAACGTTGTACAGTTGTACATGTATCCCTGCCGAAGCCTCAGAATGACAACCTCAGCAGCACCCAACCAAACCCGAGTGCACACCATACAGGAAAAAACCTGTGCAGCTGATACTTTGCTGGCGGATGTTGGAGAGAAGCATGCGGAATTACATGTGCGAAGTATTGATCTATGCCCTGTACGTAATCATGGACAGGAACATGCAGGCATAAGCTTGAACGGATGAGTCTGTTGTGGACGACCCCCTGCAAACCCGCCATGGTGTGTTCTGTCGCAGCCGCCAAAAAGCACACAGGAGACTCATGGGGTGCATGCGTGTTCAATCATGCCATGCATGTTACACGTACTATTGACGATTTGCAGCGTATCTGGCCTCTGTCGCGCGGCTTACAGTCCGACTGTTTCCTTCCAATCATGGTTAGCTAAGGTTTCTGGTTATTTCTGGCTTAGGTGGCCAGGCAAGGCTTCGGGCGTGTCTCGTCGTCACCGGGAACTGCTGTCTGAAAAGAAGCTCAGTTCGGGCGATAGCTCCTTGCACGACGGATTGCACTCTTGGGATACGCCTGGGAGCATGTTTGTTTCAGTGCTTCTACTTTCATTTTCTGCTGCTCTTGTTATCGGGGGGCAGTGTTGCTGCATGCTTCCGCAAATGGCAGAGGCATGCTCAGTGCTAAATATCATGTCTGTCTTGCTTGCTGTTGTGACTCATCAACATTTCATGTCTTCCCAGTTGGCAAAACAAAAGCTTGTGTGGTCTGACACTTCCTAGCATGAAGGCAGGCGCCGAATTTAAGCATATCAGTAAGCGGAGGAAGAGGAACTGAACAGGATTCCCTTATATAGTAATGCAGGGATCAGGTGGGTTGGAAACTAGCGCTGCTGCCTTGGATTGTTTTTTTTGTTGCGACCTGTGCGCCCGCAAGCTACGTCGCGAGTCCGCTGGGAGCCGGGGCGTTGAGCTTTCGATCATCCTGCAAGACCTCATGCACACCTGGCTCGCCGTCAGCAGAGGCGACGGCATCGAGTGGGTGGCCACCAGTCTCGACGGCGAAAATCATGGCAGAACGGCGTGCGCGACAGCTCGGGGTATGGGAGTCGTGATGCATGCGTCGCATTGCGAGCTGAAAAGAGGAGGAGTCAGCCCCTTGCCGCGGCTCCCCGGAGCGAGTGGTTACACGTTGTTTTTGTGTATGT